TCTTCATGTAAAAAAAAGTATTAATTTGTGATTAAAAGAATCATTTATATTTCATAAACTTAAAATAAATTTCACACTATGAGTATCAAGTGATTCATTCTTGATTATTTCTATTTCTTAAATTAATATTTTTTTTACATGAAGAAATTTTTGAAATTTTTTAATTTTTCATCAATTTTAATATTCTGATGAAATGTGTTATAAAAACAGAATATTTTAAAATCTTATTTTTTTACTAGAAGAAAATATAAATTTAAACCATATCGGTCAAATTCGATCGCTTAATATTTTTATTGTTAAGGCTCTTGACTTCTCAGCTAAGAACTCCGTGCTGACGATGCAACATTGCAATAAAAATTAGAAATTAATTCATTCTTGTTCATCTTGTCTGTTCTTATTCTTGTCCTTGTTAATTTTATTAAATGATGTATTGATGGACGAAATTTTTTATTGCATCTAATCATTATATGCTTAATTATGCAAATGTGACTTGTCTCATATTTAGCAAATTTGTAAAAATGGACGGCAATTAAAGTTATCTTCAAATTTTATATATAAAAGCATATTTTTCACTTCTTTCAATAATTGTCAAACTATGTATTTTTCTATCCGAATAAGCTTCATTTCAGAATTTTATTGATTACTAGACATTACAAATGTGCGCTGCGCGTACGCCATTTATCTTTTTCAACACAAGAGCAAAAATTAATACAATACTATTATATTATTATACTATTATAATACTGTTACACTATAATATTTTTAACTTCTTGATACACAATTATCAAAACGATCCTCGCTGTGAAATCAATACAACAGCTATTCATGAAGTTAGCGCAGCGAGAGAACCAATCAGCATCGCGGAAAAGCGTCATAATAAACTTCAAGAATTTCGAGTGATGCGAGATGCATTGATTTAACATGTCTTTTTTAGAAAGAAGGATCAAAAAATCAAGAAAAAAAAATAGTAAGCCATCCATTTTCAAGTGTCTTAAAGCCATCTCAAATGTCGTCAAATATCTATTTGCAAATTACGTGCAATAAATTTTACTGTCATTTTTTTGCTTATGACATTATGAATATGACCGCAGTGATTAGTCAGGAGCCTTAAGAATACCATATTCATTTTGTAAAATCATGAATTATTTTATATTATATACTTTAATTATTTAAATATTAAAACATTTAATATATTTTAAATATCAATTTTTTATTTTAATATTTTTTTAATTCATATGTTAAAAGTGTGAATGCATATGTGTGTATGTGTGTATGAGAGCATAAATTTAATTCATTATTTTTTTCAAAAATATTAAGAAGTCTCATCTCTCATGATAGTAACTGAACTCATATATGTGAACATTTTGATATGTTAACTTAATGTCGCGTCGTGAATGCGGTTATAATAAAAAAAGATTGAATAAATTTAATGTATAAATATGAAATATTTTATTCCAGATGGTCAAATTATTGATGGTCTACGCAATTAATTTAAATTTAGAAATGGAACATTTTGACCATCTAGGAAATAATGTGAAATTCGCGTGTTGGTACAACATTTGTACAATGTCTGTGCCAAGATAATCTGCGCTGCGAATTTAAGTACGAGTTGCAATGATACGGAATACACTCTAGTACTTTGTGAGGTCCGAACGACAAGGCGCCGTTATTAGGCCTTCGACACACCATTTGATCGGGTACTTTAAAAAATGTATCAAACATGTTTTTTTTTTACTAGACTTGTCCTGCGTAATTCCGTGACGACACTGATGCCTAATTAATTCTACCTCTTCTCACATTTTATGTTCTCTCTCACACTCTTCCTTTTTCACTGTCTCTCTCTCTCATCCTTCCAATCCTCCGAGCCAATCTCACACCGCTATGTACATTCTCTAAATGCTCATATTACATATCGTACATAAACTATGTACACTTGATAGAATATTTACAAGTGGTAAGTGTGAGGCAGGTGGTGTACAGCATCTAGATTGTCATCACTATTCCATGTTCCGATCATGATGACGTCTGAAAGCATTCATCCAGGAAGTTCTCTAACGAATGGTACAGATGTGCTCGTGACTGGACGATACCGTGATCTTCATCCGTGTACGTCTGCAATACAAAAGACTCGCAAAGTTACATTGTTGATGTTTATTTAGATCACTTCTAATTTGGATTCGTCTGAAACGCCATAAGATCGTTTAAGTTCCCTTATCGAGAACGGAAACGTACCTGTTGTCTGAAGAGAATGTCTTTCTGTTCCAACACCTTCGCGAGCATAAGCGACTGCTGATAGTGCACGTTGTCGTCTAGAGTTCCGTGAATCAGATAGTACATCTTGTTCTTGATGTTCTCGACTTTATTTAACAGCTGGCCTTTTTCGTAGCCTTGCATATTATCAGCGACGGTTGGTAAACCCATAAACCGCTCGGTATAAATCGAATCTGCAATTACACAATTAACACGGACGTATTAATACGAGCAGCGTAGTGAGGGTAAAAAAAAAAAAAAAAAAAAAAGAAAAGGACGAAAAGAGGGGATGGTTTCACGCCGTCATGTGGCGCGTAATATCTTATGCAGAAATTACACAAGTGTGACGCCGCGCATAAGTCGTTTCAACATCATCCTGTAAATCACGTGTAATTTTTCTCGCGTGCTCTAATAAAAGGAGGTAAATGCTGACACGAATTTAAAGCAGTTGAAAAAGTAATATTAAAGCTGCAGTGGCGCGTCCTTTCCGCAGAGCGCGCACTTTTCTTCATTAAAAACGCCGGTACGTAAGAAATTCTTAGACAAATCCGAGAGCCAAATGAGCTTAGCATAAGTCATTTTAAGTAAGCCGCATTCTCCGCGAGTAAACTTTCTTAACAACTGTTCGTTTAATAACGGAGAATACCAAGCTGGAAAAATTTTGCTCCATGTGTGATACTAATTAATGTCGCAGCAACATCGAACAATAAGGACAAAAAATATCGGTTTCGGTTAATTACGTTTCCTATTCCTGTTCTTTATTACATATTTAAGTCTAATTAAGCGCGGAATATAAAACAAGCTATTCATCAAAATTAATCCAGCTTAAGAAAAGAATACACAAACAAGATTCTGATTGATTTAAATATAATTACCGTGCACCGAATGTAATTTCCTGCTTTAGCTTTAATTTTTTATTACAGTCGGATAAAGTTTCAACGAAAAATGTAAACTCTGTTTCCATAACTTTAATGTTATAAGAACCTGATCCTGACAGCAAATATTTTCTGGCTCTTGCACCGTTGTTAATTTTGTGACAGTACTTGTAAGGCACGATCTATCATTTTATTCTCTCGTCAAAAGCTTTTACTTTTTTTTTTTTTACATCTGTTATTAATGCCTTTTGACTGCACGCCGTGTAATTCGTTAAATTACAAAGAATACTTGTCGCAAATGATTCTAATTTCTAAATTATTTTCGCTCTCTTTGAAGTAAACACACTTTACGCATTATTAATTCGATCTATTAATTAGTTATCAACGTACCGTAAAGAGCCCAATCCGTAACTGGCGCGACGGACATGCCGCACTTGAAGACACCTTTTAAGTCCATGGCGAGCGTCATGCCGGTCGCGTATCCACCATAACTCCAGCCCCATATCGCCGTTCTCGTACGGTCAATGAAGGGTAATTTGTCCTGTAGATACCTGCAAGAAAAGCAAAGAAAAGACTCGAATCAATATCGTTGAAAATACGACATTGAAGCAGAGAGATGTGGCTAAAATATGTCATCTACACAGATTATCCATGAAATTGATTAAGGTCGGATCGCACCAACATTATTTTGATTTTAAGCAAGATTTAAACATGTACTTTTATCCTTATTTCTGAATAAATAAAGATAAATCTAAATCGCGCTTAAAGCAAAAATAATGTGATGTAACCGGGTCTAAATGACTTTAAAAATTTCATTACAATATCTGTAATATAATATAATATAAGAAGGAAAAAGAGCAGACATATATAAATTTTTATAATTCTGAAATAATCTTCTGAGCAATTCTGCATAATTTTCAAAATAATTTTGCGAGTCGCAAATTACAAGACAGATGTGACAATACATAAAAGAGAAAGGATACATTTACGGAAACAAGGATCTTCCTATTTACAAATTTGAAAATATCAAAAGGAATGTCTATGATGGTTTCTTTTGTTTCCATTTAGGATTATGCAGAAACGAGATCATCCTATGAGATTACCCTCCTTTGCCAGAGAATGCCGCAGCGCTCATAAAAAGACAATCACCTTTCTCGCTGAAGAATAGGATAGTCGAGCACTTTGCGATAAGAATCGATGAATACTTTGTAATTTCTGCTTCCTTCCCTCCCCGTATCCTCCATTATCTCGTGTGCACTCGACGCGATTATACGTGCCACCAATGTGCTTTGTATTGAAAAATATGTAGCATGCTATCCATGGAATCGTGTATCACGCAATTGCAATTTTCTGTAGCAGCGCCGTTGCAATTATCGAAAAAAATTTTCAGAAAATCCAACTCCCGCGCATTCTCAATAATTTTACAACGTTATTTTTTTTACATCAAGTTCTCTCACAGAAAACTGATGAATAACTGATGATTATTAAATTAAGAAATACCACTTTGTCGAATTGTCTACATATTTAATGCCTTTGCTTTGAAATGCAAATTCAAAGTTGCTTTAAAAATATTAATGTGAATTGATCATATTGTTGAAATTATGGAAATTTGCGTATAAAAATATTTTAAAAAGGAATTAAATTTCAAAGCGGCGATACAAAAATCTGACAACAATATCCGCGTTTTGCATTTAATTTAAAAAACGGGACAATGCCCCGCCAGCACTTTTCCCAATTAACGGCGTGTTTCAATGTTGTAAATCAAAAAGGGGTTTCGGAAAAAGGTTCGGCATTCAGTCACAATATCCTCGGAGAAAGGTCAACTGCAATTTGGACGAGGAATCCACGGACAAGGGAAGGGATGTTACCTCTGGGACATCCCGTGTATCCCAGACCGTCTCCCAGATTGAGCGCCGCGTCTCGCCTCATGATTTCCGGAAACCTGAGTGAATTCTGCGCGCGAAGTGCCGCGCGTTACCCTCCCTCCCCGGGCAGGGAGGAGGGAGGGAGAGAGAAATTCGTATTTCTTTCGTTCCAATCTTTTCAGGCTATTGTCTCTGGCATCTCTCGTGTGTTCGATAATAATGGCCCCGGTGGGATCAGCGCCCACACCGGTCGGCCACCCGGCCAGCCGACCACCCCTAGAAAATAGTAAATGCTCCTCGTACGACGATGCGCGGCAGATTTCGTTTCTTCCTCCCTCTTCTCGTTCTCGGTGAAATTTATTTACCTCGTAAATCGACCGGCGGTACGTTGAATTCTATTTCTTCCCATGAGAAAAAAAGAAATGACGGGGGGAGGGAAAAAAAGGGAAAGAAACGAGACGGGGGAAGGAAAGGGAAGAAACCTCGGACCGAGGTGCTCGTGTTCTTCTCTCTTTCGTTTTGCGACTCGTCCGTTACGTACACCCTAGGATACGTATTTCGGTCTCACGAAATTCTATCGGCATTTCCCGTGGTTTCCTTTGTCTCTCGTTGCTCGATGGTTGCCTATCGAGCAGCGATCCGCTGCGCGAATTTCAAGGCGAGTTTTTACTCGCTGCTTTGAATAAAAGTCGCGTGTACGTTGAATCCTTAAATCATTGGAAGATTTCGAGGAAATTAAAAATAAAATTGGTAACGAGCGCGACGAAAATAAATTCTAGAGAATGAGATAAATCCTTAAATCGCAATTATAAGGGATGATAACGTGCCCATCATCTAGAATATTTTTTTTGTTTATTATATACAGCCAGAAAAATTATTGTAAAAAATTGTACGGTTTTCATGAATTTTAAAGAATATTATATTAATTACTTTTAATAACATTAAATTTAGGATCTTACCTTTTGCGAGCTTAAGAAATATCGTAACAAAACAATTGGATTTTTTTAAATATTTCTAGAAATCTTTTTCTTTTTCAAACTAATTGACAAACTATGCTTACTGTTATTAATGTCATACTACTTAATTAATGTCATACTACTTAATTTTATATGTTTTTTTTCTTATAATCTCTTTTGTCTGTATGCAAGCGATTGCTACTAATTATTCCGCATATACATTTAATTATCTCATTTTACGACACTCAATCTCCAGATCAACTACGCTTGCACGATTCTTCCCCTTCAGAGCAAAACGATTGTTAGTCGCTTTCCCCTTAAAGGATCATTACGCTTATGAGGGGTGCGTTACCAACCCTAAGAAGATTTCTAGATTTCAATGCCACTTACGTTACTCGTTATTCACCAATTAAGCGGGCGAGGAAACCAGAGGGACAGACCAACAGCGACGAGTTGGTTAATCTGGTTAGTCGCCTCGATGACGAAACAAAGACTTGGCAAAAAGGAAACAAAAGGGAAGGGTTGACGCACAGAGGGAGGATGGTACCTAGCGCAAGGGATGGGCAGGAAGGACTACGACCGCGGGTTGAAGAGAGTCGGACGATTCCGCAATCGTTTGGCTCGCTTCCAATCTCACTTTTTATAAGCCGGACGATGCACCGGCAACACCGTGGTTAAAATAGAACACTTGCATCTTCGTGAATACTGTGTAACATCAGCAATTAAACGTATACAATCTAAAGAATTAAAAAAATTTTATTTTATTTAATAAATATATTAATATTTATTAAATATAAATATTTGATTGATATTTAATATTTAAAAATTTTTTTTGCAAAATGTGATAATTAAATGTACATGTGAAATAATTAGTAGCAATTATGCCTGTGTGCAGAAACGTAAGGAATAACAAGATTATAAGAAAAAAAATAGTATGTTTATTAATTCTATAATTACGCGAAAGTTCTCCACCAAGCTCACATTTTAAGATTTTCCACTACGTCGCTAAAATTTCCACGCGCTCGAAAATAGAACGAAGAATATATCTGACATGTAAGATTATTTCTTTTTAATGAAAGGTGATAAGTGCAAATATCGACACTACATACGTATTTAGCGAGAACAAATTTTCGCTTCATTTATAGATCGATTATTCTTCAAATAAACGCTTATCATAATAAAGACATTGCACGGACTATGTGAACGACACCATTTGATCTATTTAATATTTAATGATCTATTTAAGCATCGAACTTAAAATACATGCATGTCCCAGGTGTTCCTCGCGTTTTCTTTTACCTGTGGATACTTCGGTCAATGAACTGATGTTCGATGAAGAATAAAGTTTCACGACTTTTTTTTACAAGAATAAAAAATTATCAATTGTTTGTGACAAATCAGATTAGCTACGTACAATTCAATTTTTCTTTTTTATCTGTGATTCGTATATTGAAGCACAAGCGAACGCCAACAACCCTCTGTCTTTCTTCACAGAACGCAATACAAAAATAGTGCGTCGAGCAAGAAATAATCAAGTTATTAAAACATTTAGAAGCGAACAACGAGAAAGCAATTTTGTAGCAGCATCATTCTGGTATTATTATTTATGAAGAAATTGTCGTCAAAGGGAAAAATAGAGTGAAACTCTGGAAGAATTCTGAAAGCGTCACGAAATAAAAAGAAAATAAATAAAAAAAAAATTTAACGTAGTCATCGTATTTTCGTTTACCAAATATATCTATAAAGTTAACATTTGTACACTGCGCTATCACCTCGCTAATCTCTCTCTCTCTCTCTCTCTCTCTCTCTCTCTCTCTCTCTCTCTCTCTCTCTCTCTCTCTCTCTCTCTCTCTCTCTCTCTCTCTCTCTCTCTCTCTCTCTCTCTCTCTCTCCCCCTTTTCTCACCACCGAGATAAATTACTCGTGGCAGCTAAGTGGAAATACGAGAGAAGAGCCCGACTCTTCTCCGTGTGGTACCCGCCACTCGACGGCACAGGCGTGGAGAGGGTCAGCCGATAAATTCAGATAAAAGTACGAGCAATTTTCTTCTTGTTAACGCGACGGCGATGCTCTCTCAGGTGCCCGCGCCGTGAAAAGAACTTCGTTAAACGCGATGCCCGGCCTCGGACGCGCATCGGGGGAGCCGGAGTTAGATTAGTTAACTTGGGGGATTTAGCGAATTATCCTGATCGCGTGGTGATAAGTCACTTTGAAGCCTCGCCCTATAATTAGGTTTGTCCTAAAACAAAAACTTTGTTCGCCACGCTTTCACGGGACGAGAGAGCCCGGCGTTCGGTTCTCAGATTCCGCCTGCGATGGCCTACGTATGTCCGCTAACATCACCATCGAGGGTAATCCCGGCGGTTGCCGTCGAAGCCAATTTCGGATTAATGATATAATGCGTCCTCCACGTGATTTCGGCTTATTCCAAGACGCGCTTATTTCTTAAATCCCTTTCGCGAAGAAATCGAGAGGGATACGTTAAGCGAATTTAGTAATAGAAGAGGCTTACGCTGAGAAAAATTCGATAAATTTAGTTTTACATAATTTTATAAGATTTTAGATAAATAGAAAGAGAATTAGAGATAATTTCGTTTCAAAATTGTTCCAATACTGCACGAAAAAAATTACTATTCATTGTAATTAACTCGGTAGCTTTCATTTTCATTTAATTCTTAACATTAAGTGGACAATTTTGGAAAAGAAAAGTTGAGGAGCGAAATTATTTTATAACAGATTTACCTGGTAACGTTGATCTGATCGGTAATTTCGACGGTACCCAGGCGCCGGTATCCAGCGAACAGCATGTTGTTACCCATTAATCCGGAACCGCGTCCATCAATGGCGGCATATATGATACTTTTGTTTGTTACAAGATACGTGCCCCAATCGATGTTAAACTTCTCCGTCACCTGATACGAATCCGGGCCACCATATCTGAAAGGATAAATTGCGTGACACAGGCTGTCAAAACGCCACAGTATCGGCACATTTCATCGCTCACCCTTATATGTATAAATGAATTTCACGTGTATATACATTTGTTCATTTTGAATATATTTTATTCCTTAACATTTATACAAATTAGAGCAAATATAAGACTTATTTAATTCTTATTACTGCCGAGTATCGTATTCAAATCATTAAGTCTAATTTTTTGAAAATTATATGTAAGAGAAAAAAAGAAATTATCTTATTAATTAATTTATATAAAGAATACTAATAATTATATAATATACTAATATAATATACTAATAATTATATAATCATGATCTAAAATATTAGAGAATAAAAATGATACGATGGCTCGATGATTAAATTTGAATCAGGTACTTGCAATGGCCAAATTGACCATTTCCTTCTATAAAAAAATCCTAATCCCATCATTAGATTTAGCGGATGTAACTAGCTACTTTCCTGATTGTTTAGCGTGCAATTTTCTCGGCTTTCACGCTCATTATGGCTCTCAATGGTCGTTTGCAGAAAATCTTTGTACCACTTCCTCAGAATTTAGGCTCAAAGACGACGGGGAAAGGCACGAAGAGAAAAGCCAAACGGCGACGAGAATTAGGAAATGGAAGTTCGAGAACGAAGATGGCTTTTCTGATACGGCCTTTTCAAGACCGCCGACACTGACGCGGAAATAGAGACGGATAGTAACGATCTCGAGGATGGTGTGATATAAACGCGAATGTTCTTGAGAATGACGGTGATACGGCGCTCGGCAGTATCATGAAACACACATAGTGCGATCGAAGCGAAATAGACCGTAATGATAACCAATGATCAGCTCTATCGGGCACTGGCTCATACAGAAAAGCCATAAACGTAAGACGAAGAGATAAGAAAAAAAAATTCACGCATGATTAATTGTTTTTATGTCATTTTGCCGTGGTAAATATAAAAATATTTATAAAAATATTTTTTCACAAACTTTGTGACAATGCAGATACTTGATAGGGTGATATATTAAACATAATCCTTTTCGATTATTTTTTTTATCCACAAAATAAATTTTATTAGCATTGTTAATTCAAATATAATTTAGAAATTATATTCGAGTTAACTGTTATCACACCAGGCTTCAAATTCATAGTACAGTTGGCATTATGCTGATCTGCAGTAATCCCATGTAATACGCATGTAAATGGTGCCACGTGTAATTTCGTGCCATTTCCGACGCAGAGAGTGACGTAATCACGTGAGAGTACTTTACATCTTTATAATAAAGTGAATTGGATAAAGGGGAGAATTTACGAGTGAAATTGCGTTATGGCTAGAAACGCACGATATATCGAGCGGCTCTTCATGCCGAAGTATTATGTCACAATAGAAACTGATATTACAAACTTACCGAACTTACAAGCTCATAATGAAATGCATTAAATGCGCGTGAAAAAACAGAGAGAATATCGTTAAACTAAACAATAAAACTTTTAATAACGTTCTCATCTTTTAAAATAAAAAAAGAAAAGATAGGAGAAAGAAGAAGCTTTTTTCTTCTCACGCAACTTACAATTCTAAGAGATTTGAAAAGTTTCTATTTATCATGTCATATATCTTTAAAATAATAGGATAGAAACTTCGCACACGCATGACACATAAAACAAAAACATTAACATCTTGTTTTTATGAATTATTATACTTGGTTGATTCGTTAACTTTTGATCTTTACATCAAAAGCGATTCAAGTGTACTCGAAATACAAAGCGGGTTACTTACTGTTAGCGAAATACAGAAAGGAATATTCATTTAACAGCATCAAGTTAGAGTACTGATTTCGGGTGAAGCTCGATGATCCATCCTCGGTTTCGACGAAAACGATTCGTATCACGGGCATTGACTGATGCGATCGATAATCTAGACTGGACGTAGGAAATTCATTGAAAACCAGAGAGAACAAGTGATCGCGTCCGAGTACTCTAGTGATATGTGAAAACTTCGGGCGATCCAATATACCGTTTCAAACACGAGGACAGTACAATTACTCGACTCGATAAAGCGAACCGTGGGAACTCAAACTTCTCTTTATTCGAACGAACGAAACGCATCTCTTTATTCGAACGAACGAAATGCATCTACGCAATTGCGAGAGTTCTTCTATGAGCTTAATTTTGCCTCGGTCATTCTACATTTTCAGAGGTGACAAAAGCCTACATCTAATATGAATGAAGTAGTACGATAATAGTATTTAAATCGACGTGAAACTTATTATTTGTCATTTACATAAAGGATTTATCAAAAATATAAATGTTTTATTTTTCTCACACAAAAAAATAAAAATAATAAAAAAATAAAAAAATAAATAATTATTAAAAATAAAAATAATAAAAAAATTAAAAAAAAATTATTATTTAATAAAAAAAAGTATCTTTCTAACACAGGAAAATTGCATACTGGATAATTTGGCCTTCTTAAAAATCTTTTCAAAACTTTTTTTCTCTTCAAACATAAATAGCAATTAATACAAAAACTATATTAGGATACTTAATAAATTTATTTTAAATTAAATTTGTATTAAATTAAATGTTATTTATATAGAACTGTATCAAAATTGTATAAATTATTTCGACGAATGTATTTTTATAATGGAATGCGCCCAATTAAAATTTAACTATTTTAAGAAGAGAGTAGGGTTCCAAGGGTTCCCAGGGACCGAGTTACTGCCTTTCTCCTGACCGTTAATGCACAACGTGAGGCTTGCACTTTAGGGACGGACATCGACGAACTTCCGTCGTAAGCTCTTTGTACTTTCAAAAGTTCGAGCTCGGCCAGAACCGCCTACAAATTAGGTGTTATTAGGATTTACGCTGGAAAGTTATATCGGCCTTTAGCGTCATGCTTGCCAGCAGTGCTACTGGTTGCCGCGTGCACTGTCTAAATGTGGAAAACATGAAAAGCTCATCTTCCAACTGACTTTTGCAGTAATGACTAATAACTTCCAAGGTATTATCGCCTCGAAAAAAAAAAAAGAATTAGGATTTACTCACGTAAGCATATTTAAAATAAGCGAATAACTTTCTTCACAATTTCCTATACTCGTTGAAACGATAAAGTTGCATCTCGTATTTAAAAAAAAAAAAATATGTAAAACATCAAGAAAGCTTGACGGTGAAGAATGAACATCAAGGAGCGACATCGGGAGATAAAATGCAGGCAGATGCCACGTCTGATTTTCTTCAATCTCTTTCGACGATCGTGTTACTCCCACTATTCCTTCGAGCGAAATCGTTAGAAGACATACCGAGTGCCGGGGATCGATCGATAACGTTTCTGCTTTTATCGAGGAGGCCGCCGAAGTTTTCGTTCGTGAGACTGAATACGGAATGACTCATCGCTTCGGTTGCGGTTTTACATCCCTTCCTAATTCAGGCCACGTAAAGGAGAGCTTCGTTTTCACGTCACGGTGCAGACTACGCTTCGCTGCCGCACGTTCGTCACCGCTCCTCCATTACGCTTATCTCGCGAGTGCATTATGACGGAACCGATTGATGACGCCCGCGGAGTGCGTTGTCATATTTCTTGTCACGCCGCGGAAAATATGGATGCTTTTAAGTAAACGTCGAGATATACGCGACGCCGAAAAACGACGCGACGTAAGAACTTGCTTGATAGCTGCAAAGTACTTCTGATAGCTGGGAGCACGATTATTCGTCACGTGTATCCAACATAATTTTAATCGTTGTCAAACACGTCTTAAATTAAAATAAAATATCTACATATCCACGTATTTTAAAGTTTCTTTTTTTATCTATGGAATCTATGGAGTAATATGATAACGCATATTTTTTCCAAAAATTATGTTTACTTTAATTCGTATAAGTTGAATAATAATGAATTAAGAGTTAATATTGTTTACAAAATATGTAAAAGTTTCAATTTATAGAGAATAAAATACAAAGCGTTTATTTTATATGTTTGAGTGTGAAATAATTTCAATTTTATGAGAAAGATATCAAGTGGTCCGCTTTATTAAAGATAAAGAAATCTTATCATTGAAAAAATTAAAAACTTACACATAAACCAGCATAGGATACTTGGTAGCCCCACTGAAGTCAGCACCAGGTGGTATCAGAAGTCTCACTTGCGCGTTAAAACCACCAGGAACTGGGACTTTATATCTATGAACGTACGGTTGTGACTTCTCCATTAGTATCTCAGTCACTACATTGTTGTCCTCCCACACGGAGAGCAACGTAGAATTCTGAAAGCAGAAAAGCAGAAAAAAATGTGTAATGATAAATTATAAACTTAAATCGACCTAAATAAAATAAAAAGGTATTAATCAGCACCAGACGAATACGAACTTTAATGTATGTTAAACTGTAAGCATGAATTAAATGAATACTTTTTTTTCCTACATATTTCGCACATAGGAAGATTAATTATTAGTCAATCGCCGTCATTCAACCGGCAACGTAATAACGACGCTATCTATCTTCTTAACGCTCGATTTTTCCTTTCATCTTTATTCGCTTTCGACACCGATCGATCGCTGGTCACTTCCTGATTCTCTGACGTCATAATCACGATAGATTATACACCGAGAGAGTGATGAATAACATCGTCAACACATTCAAAGACATCCCCGCAAACTTGCGGGAAAGTCGTATAAGACCGTTTAGCGGTTGCCTTCCCCAACGTGCCTCGCAACTTCAGACCGGCGCAACCCTCCGCGCGAAATCGATTCGGTTCAAAGGGCGAGTAGTTGTCCGAAGTTCTCCCCTTTTTTTTTCTTCACGAGGATGGCGTAACGGGAAATGGCGGGAAGAAGGTTTCGCGGTGTCCGGTTTTTTATCCGACGGTAAAAAAAATTGCATTAGAAATGTCGAAGGGCGCCGCGCCGTCGCGCGATTTGCCGCCGAAGTCGAAGTTTCCCGGGCGCGTTTTTGCAAGCCGGGAGAGTTTACCCGCGAGTTCCGTGCCCTCTTTCCACGCCCGGCTCCTGGGGAGGATAGGGGTAAAAATGTAACGCGCAATCTGCGCGCTTTTGTGCGTCTCGAGCATTAGACTCGACGGCGGATCTCGATTTTGCATCGCCGCGAACTTTTTCTCGGGCGCCCGCGCTCGGATCCGCGTTACCGTAAGTTTCCTCCCGGCGAATGACAGGCGATCTGGCGAGGTTTCCGGCTTTTGTGGGAATCTCATACCGATCGCGATATGACGCGGCGATATCGATTTTCGATCGGGAACTTTGGATATACATTTTTTTCTCCCTCTCTTTCCTCCCCCTCCCCCCCCGCGCGCGCGCGATTCGCTACGCCGGATATGTATAGAACGGCCGCAAGTTCGCGCCATCGCATACGCTCGACGCGGTATAAATTGATCAAGTTTTCGAAGCAGACAAAAAAGCGACAAAGCATCTCTGCATTATACCACCTTAATTTCACAAAATACAGCTAAAATAGTTACTACATAGTTAAGTATAGTTTGTTATTATTATTAATATTATTAATATAGTTTCTTATTTATTGTAAATTGGATTTTGGCAATTTTTTTAAATGATTGAAGAAACAGGTTCTTATAATATTCAAGATATTTCTTTTTCAAAGGGACAGTATAAAAATCTATTTCTTCAGGCATTTGAAAAATTACATCCAATTTATATAATCAATTTTTAATCGAATTTTATTCTAACTACTAATTAATTTTAATAATATACACTAAAAAGAAGAGAAGTTGTAAAAAAGAATGAGATGATACTTTTGTGAATAAAAAGCTTGCTTTATACTTTTGTAAACGCTCGAGATTTTTTCTCCTTTTCGATGCAGAGAGTAATAGAAAAGTTCAAATAATGGTAACAATTATTTAAACTTTATGTCATGAAAACTCAGCTCAGCGAGGTAGAGAATCGTGATATGGCTATTTGCATACCGCAAATGACCGCAATCTAGAACCATTGTTAACTGTACATTAAAAAAGAAAGAATCGACTTCAAATTAGTGAAAAATCTCGCTATGCAAAGTATGTACGCGAATTTTCCCAATTAGGCGATGGTAGAGATATTTCACGAGAAGTGAAATATCGGAGAGTCAAGCGCGATCAATTGGCGTCGCTTTGAGCCTTTTGTAAATTTCGATAATTGCTCGTATCATAATATCATCGTAATTGGATCGGCATGCAAGAGGGCCTCATAAATCGTGTCAAAGTACAACAAAGATCGACAAAGGGATTCCAGAGAGGATTTTGTACATGCCTGTTTGTAACTTTGTTGATGCGTGATATGATATTTGCATATAACAAATTGATCTATTAATTCTCGAAAAAAATTTATATTAAAAATGCACAGCGCTCTTAAAAAACAAAAGGAATTTCCGCATTGAGATAATCCCTATAATTTATTAACAAATGTTATTAACATATGTTTAGAACTGAATTAAGAAAGGAATTTAGAAATCATTTCAACTTGGAAAGATGAAATTGGTACAAGTATTTTACGGCTTGTGTTATAATAAAATCAATAAAATCTTGCAAACGCATTTATTATCTATAATTAATCAATGTAGACTTTACTTTGAAGCGAAAGAGAAGCGTACGACTTCATATTCGCGTTAATTAAAACGACCAAAGACGAAGGAAAGCAGACCGATCCGTACGGTCTGAAAGCGCGAATTTCATCGACAAGGTCGCTCTTTAACGTAATTGGATTAACGTTCATTGTCGACGTTTTCCCGGGCGAGAAGACCAATTATCAGCATTAAACGGCCGTGCGAAAATAAGCGATAAAGACGCCGGATAGTCAGATTTTCGCTCCGTTGATCGCGATAAAGCACGTGGATTCGTTCTCGACATTTTGCGTTAGTCGTTCTCGAAGTTCAATGACTTCCACTTCTCCTTCCCCTTTCCCTCTTCCTCCGTCTGTCGCTGCGGTAATCAGATTACAAAGGAGATATTCCGACCTAGATCGAGTGTACTTTATATTCGTGTAGTGGCGAACCGAGATATCTTCAAGTTCCAAATGCAGCTCAATTTAAAGATTTTAAACTTACCGTACATAATTCATATTTCGTATCAATAAAACGTAATTTAAAATTTAAATCTAGTGCACAACGATACAGTACGTGCATTTTTTTTTTTATTTCGGAAAAGCTCAATTGTTATTAATATTAATTTGCTGGCTCGGATCTTCGTTGTATGTAAATAATCCGCTATCGTTCTCGCTCGACTGTATTTCCTCCTTTTTTCCTCGACAATTTGCGATTCCCCGACCCGTCTGTCATCATGGAAAGTCGACGAGGAGGAATTTGATTATCGAAAGTAATGAAACTTTCATCCGACCGCAAACTTTTTCTCCGAGGACGACGGGCGCGCAGGTAGATTGGCGAATAAGCAAATGGACGGATAGATTATAGACAGACTGGAAAGGGGGAAGAGAAAAATCGGTCTAAGGCGGAGTTTCCCCTTGACTATACTCAAACCCTTGTGCCAAGTCATCTTAGAAGTTTCACGAAGATAGGTGAACAATAGACGTGGCTTTTCATCCTCTGGAGATTTACATTTACAACTTTAGTTTAATCGGTTAATTTAAATTAACGCGAATTTTATTACTCCAATTTTTAAAACCAACATTTTTAAATAAAACTGTACTTTTGTTTTCTATTTTTTCAACTGCAGATGCTAAAAATCTAATAAATATTATTACTAATTAAATCAAATAAATGAAAATTGTAATTTAAGAATATTTCAGAAAAACAGCAGCAAATAAGCGTCTCGCAACAAAAGTTCATGAATAAAAATTAAATGTACGTAACGTTTCATAAGCAAACACACAAAACAAACATTATAATATGCACGTTGACATGTCTGCTAAATATGCTGTTGTTAGAGTTTGTATGTTCAAAAGACAGTAAGTAGAGGTTGTAATGTCGGAATGAGGAATAAACGCATGTTTGCATTAATGCGAATTAATGAAGTTTTTTATTCATGCATGTGAAACCGAATGAATAATCGCTTTGACAATTTCACCAATATCGGTTGTCAGTTAATCAATGAATTAAACCTACTAATAATAATTAATTAAATGTACTTTATTTATATGGCAATTGCTATAATTCGCAAAAAGGAAGAGCAATTCAAATGAATTATGATTAAAATCATGTACAATGAAATTATTCAAATAGCGAAAGTCACATTTTGAAATTAATATCCTTTAATATTAAAAATATATATTCAATCAATTATATAAATACTAAATATTATATAAATACAAATAAGTTTTATTTTATTTTTTAGCTTTCATCTCTTTTAACACTAAACACTTAATATTTTGTTTTAATGTTCATCAATTATTTTTTATTTTCATACCTCATAAATCATATATGATATAAAGATTATAAAACATTTCATTATTCATGTTTAGAACTTATTAGTTTTGAAAAATAATTCTATTATAAATACGCGTAATTATCAATTTCATTTTATACAATGTGATTATCGTTGTGTTTTCAATGGGGCGCTCTTGAAAATGTCGGTATAAAGGTGATAATGTCATAATATAAGCGTATTCTATTTAAATGGAAAATTAAATAAATATGCTTCATGAAGAGACAATTTATCATTAAATCTTATTTCTTATTTCTGAACAATTGCTTATATATAAAAAGAATTCTACAAGTTTTGTTATTTAATATTACAGGAAATTCATCTTTCCTTATTTTAATATAGTTTTAACGATTCTTTAATTAAAAATTCTTTAATAATTTAAATTTCAGCTTCGTAATAGATAATAAATCCACTAGAATAAAATATGTGATAAAGATTTATTGATAAACTGAACTTCCTCTTGACCCGCGTTTCGCGAAAGATAGTGCGTGACAAATTTTATTTCACTCTACAACATTGTTCTGTGTAAGTTATTAAATTTATACGCGATGCTTCTGAATCGTCGATTCCAGCCAGCGGCCGTTGTTGATTGCGCCATTTCTCTCAACATGTTTTATTTACGTAACAAAATTGGAAATTGATACAAAACATGGCCGAGTTGAAAACGCTTGCAAAAGCACGCGGTCAGACAGCGACAGCCGTAACAAAATTTGGATAGCTTTACAGTACTGCCACTTTAAAACATAGATATCAATGTGATAGCCAATCTTTCAATTTATCAAGCATTTAATCGTAATGAGATTTTTATAATTACGACACCTTTCTCATTTTTACGTTAAACTACTACCTAAAAATTCCTAATTATGTCATCAAATTCGCATGCTGTTACACATTTGAGTAAATGGCTTTTCAGTTTCTGTGCTTGATTGTTCTCCTCCTCACGGAGGAAAAACGGATTCAAAAGCGATACGGGCGGGAATACGTGTACACCACGAGAGAACTTGCAGTTTAATGCATTGCCGGCACCATCGTGCCACACGTTTCGCCCCGTGTATCGTGCTTTTTACGAAGTCACCAACAATGTCGCGATAATCTGTCTCGGCGTGATTTCGATCTGATTAGGCCGAGCGAACGGTATCGCGAGCGTAATGTGTTTTGCGTGCGGGATTTCGAGAGCGAGCTTTGTTACACCGTCGTGCCCCCCTCCCCCCGCGCACGTGGCGGCGCGGGGGTGGGAGGGGGGCGCGGTGCGAGCCACCGCTCGTATATTACTCGCAGTGCAGCGTGGGGCCGGGACTAAACCATAGCCACACCAATACCTACTACGCGCGTATTCTATTGCCGTAACGAAATTTATTCGATTCGGCTGTCTGATAGCGGCCCACCGCGGGTCGTGTACCTTTCACTAGCAGAATTACGCGGCTGTCATCCATACGTCTATATCGCATGCAAATGCATTGCGCGTGGTGCGATACGAAAGATCATTGTTCGCGGTTCGGGTATAATATTGCGATTCGTAATGCAACACGCGGAGCAAAAGGAATTTCGCGGGATACATGCACACCAGCTCCCCCAGCCCTCCTCCCCCCCCCTCTCTCTCTCTCTCTCTCTCTCACGCTCTATTCCGAGGGGATCAAATTTGTAGAAATCCGGGCTGCATACAACGTAATGATTGATGAATCCTATCAAACACGCTCTGCAGCAATAACATTGCACTCAAAGCTGAAACTAGTACGAGAGAAGGCGGGAATATACGAGATACCTGTTACGTTCCCTTCCCTGGAAGGAAAATTAGAGGCCCAATTTGATGGATTATGTTCATTATTTAGAATTTCAGTTAATGGCCTCGAAAACCAGAATTTAATCTTTACGCAAAATATTAATTTACGCATAATATTAATTAACCATTATACATTCTAAACTCTTTATGTAAACTCTTTGGCGTATTGTCGCCTCTCTTATGTCCATATTTTATAAAAAAATAATCACGTGCTGCATTCCGTATAACTGTCTGTCACCGCCAAAATAATTATCTCTCAAAATTGATAACTTTTTATTAAACGTCTCATTTGTTTCGCAGTAATTTAATTTTACTGATATTCCTACTAATTATTATAAATAATTCACGATGTAAGAATTTTCATTTCTGTGCCGCAGCTAAAACTTTTTCTTCCGTTTTATTAAATTTTTAAGATAATTTATTTTTAAAAAAAGAGTCGAGACGAGAAACGAACATAAAAACGTTAAATAAACACGTACCTTATTGTAGATAGCTATATCGGGTACTCCAGGCCCAGCGCAAGTGAGCACGTAATGCGAATTGTCAGTGGAGAATTTAGCGCTGTTGTACAAACACCGGCTGCCGTCCCTCTCTCTGACAACGTTACAAGTCAAACACGTTGACTTGTGCTCCGAATCTAGCAACGACACTCTGTACAAGTGCTGAACTGCCGACTCGCGTTCTGTAGTGGCCAAGTAGTATCTGTAACAAAAATAAATATTTTTCCTCAACAAACGTACTGCAATATATCATCTCGATTAATATAGCGTTCTGGCGAATATCAATTAACTTCTAATAATTATAATTTTTAATTATTATTATAATTATTATAATTATATACAATTCTATGCAAATCATATGTACCATTAAATCGAATGACTTCTAATAATTCAATTACGTAATCGTATATAATTTTCTTTTCCTCGGAACTGCATATGATCGATCGTGTGTGCGTGTGTATAATTCTTATTTTCGTGCGGCATAATAAATTACGGTATAATAAATTGCCGAAGATATCCTCGCGTTACGTGCGGCACGTGCGAGTGTGCAGGAGAAATTATCGCGTGCGTTAGAATAATGTCGGCCAAACGTCGCGCCGACACGTTACCGCTAAGAAATTAGTTCTTCGGTATCTGCATTATGGGACATGGAGAACACCTGTTGCGACACCCTGAGATATCCCGTATCGCGATAAGGGGCCGGCGAAGACAAATTGTCCACTAGCTCGATGCTGCTTCGCCAAGACGTGTCTCAGCGTGGTATATTTAGCGTTCTATTATCTCGCGTCTTGTTAATCCCCTCTCCCCCCACAGATGGCAGATGTTCTCCATCAGTGCGTATACGAACGGAGCACGTTCGCTAAACAGAAGTGCGCAATTTCCATATGGACCGCACTATCACCGAGGACCCCCCCTGGCCGATTTATTGAGAGTCGCTCCCGTTCTGCGGCCATCAAGCTGCTACGTCAGCAGAATATTGCCATTAGATACAATCAGAAAGCTGATGGTGTAAATTGAGGCCATTGACTGTCCGCTGCTTGCCCGTACCTGTTAATGTGTGTCGCTGATACCATCACACATTAATCAGATCTATTGTTCCCCGTCTGTTCTCGACGCTTTTAGGAGATGCAAGGGATGCATTACGTGGAGTGCCTATTTTCTTCTTTCAAAATTCCAAGATCTTGCGCGTAATTGAAGTATAGGATTATTTCTAATTAGGATGAATACGCGAAAGAATCACACAAATAGATGTGTAATTCTTTTACAATTTTAGCCGCGAAATTTATGATTAATAAAATTATTTAATATTTTTCTCGAAAGAAAGATGATATTTCGTATTTTTCGAATATTATATTTCTATGTAAAAAAATTTTATATGAAACACATCAGAGAGTGCATTTTCAGTATGTTACTCTTATTAAATAAATTATAATAAAACATATGAGAAAAATAGGGCATTGTTTATTATTTTCATCACCGATTCCGTAGAGTAAGAAGATCCATGTTCACAACGGTATTAATCATTTATGAGACAAATAAAGAAAATGTTCAATATAAAGCGTAAACAGTAAGTAAGCTCAAGAAAATACATACATATTCACACAAACTTAACATTAATTTAATTATCATTACTGATGTTAGTTTCAAATTAGTTTCCAGTTACATTCGAATATTAGTGTAATATTAGCATAAACTAGTCTGATGTGATGGAACTTATGCTGTTTGTTTGATAATTCTCTATGTCTTATCTATGCGTATGCAAATTGCAACGCTCAGTGATGTAGCATTGCGAGTGAAATTGCTAGATGCTTTCCTGAAAACTTGTAATACCAGCGGCACTCATGCAAATGATAACCACATTCATAATACTAGTATCATTTTTCAATTTTTAAAATAATATATCTTTGAAATAAATTTAGTATCTTCAAAATTTCTCTAAAAATCGCGTTGTTATAAATATTTCACGCTCGCTCTTAAACATATCTGCGATTACATATAATATTTTAAAAAGTATCATAATATTTCAGAAGATTTTACATTTTACAAAGTGATCGAAGTAAATCTCTACTTCCACATCTGCCAGCTTCTAATTTTCCTTTTATAAAATATATACTTTCTCATATATGAAAGTATCCCGTATATGAGATTATTTATAAATATTTAACCACGGGATTTCAAAAGTTTGAGACCGAAGGACCAAGAGCACGTTTATGAATTCTTTATTGCTTACGTAAATCAGATTGGAGTCTAACCGAAACACGATAAGTCGCCGGCAGTTCCGCTGGGCTGATAAGATAGATGACTCGGGGTTATTTAGAATGGATTAATTCGAGCATCCTGTTAATTTGGCCTATCGCATCAATCTTGAACGACCTCGGGGCCTCGCCATCGTCATTCTCCCGCGTCGTATTCGAGAATTGCAACTTTTGATGGCTCTACACCTCGCGACTTTCTTCGAAAATGAAGATCGATCGATTTCAAGCAAGTTTGCCCGGGGTTCCGAAGGGGCCTCGGGAGAAAACCCTCGGGAGACCACCCTGGCAACTGATATCTCATTGTCATAATCGCAGATGATAGCGTGTGTTATGACGGGATTAAATTTCGCGGCTGCATGTATATTCAAAGATATGTTAGCTATTTGTTAGAGCAAATATGAGATTATTCGTACGGAAGGGAATCTGGGAAACAATCTACGAGAAGCGAGGATTGCTGAATTTCATATGGAAATAGAATCGTCAAACAGACACGAATCGATCGATATTTTCAATTTGAAATTGTTAATCAAGCTTACAATTCTGACGTGTTTTAAAAATGTATTTTAACTTAAATGTAAGAATCATACTGCATATAATTAAAATTAAGACAAATTGTAAAATAACATATCTTATACTTGATAATTACAATTAACCAGTTACGTAATATTTCAGAAAATCTTTCTCAAGCGAATGAAGAAGTGTATGTAACGAAAAAGAGGATTCTGATGATTTAATTGAACGAAATTGGATCGTCCTGCCTGGTTCGGGTCGGATAACCGATAGAGTAATTTTTCTTTTCTTCAGCGGTACAGCCTCCTCACTCCTGGTGCATTACTAGAATTGATCCCAGTACATTAGTTATTGCGAGTGATATATACTCGTTGCTGTGTGCGAGCCAGCAGACTTTAATTACAGACTTGCAGCTCGAGGTATAGTACTCGACCTTTTGAGCGCGAGCGGTGTTCCGTTAACGAAATTAATCAGCGAATCCATCGTATCCGGTGGCGAGGGGGAGGGGGGGGGGAAGAGGGAGGGAGAGGAGATAAATATAAGCTCGAGTGCGTGTCAATTTTGTTTTGCGACACGCTTGAGATATTAACGCCAGCGTCCGCGACTTCGCAGCTGCCGATTTGCGAAGTTCCGAAGTTGCAAAGTTACCTTGTAGTTACCTTGCGACATATTAAAAGCTTGTACATATGCGTATATAATATACACTCGAAAGCTTCAAGAGCTCCGGAAATCCGAGACTAAATCGGAATTACGTTGCATACCTACCGGAGGCTCCCCGAGCGCTATCATAATATCGACAGATTAAATGCATTTGTTATATAACTTTTATGATATCTACGTAATGCATTGCAGTTTGCAACGACTTGCCGATAAGCATCCTCGATCCCACTAGGTATAGGTATATCGAAGTATAGAATCGAAATAATGTCAAAACGGTTGGCGATTATTGGCTTCCTTTGTTCCAATTCCGAGGCCTTAGGGACGCAAATAAATTAAAAACATTCTTGCAAAAATTTCAACTAAATATCTAGGTGTTTCATTTTTTAAAAATATTTATTAAAAATATTACATTATTAATCATTTTTTATCGCAATTTTTCACAATATTTATGATAATTTTAACATTGTGCTTTTAAAAAGTGTTGCTATATAAATCTCATATTAAACGCAACTATTTTTTTTTTATTTATCGAATTTTATTTTAATTTTATGATAAAGGCCGGAGAATATCGGAAATGTAATAAACGCCGAACATTTTTAGCAATTCGCTTACTAATAATGGACTCATCAGCCAAAGATTCTCTTATGTTGCACATTACAATGACGCTTTATGCACGCGCTCTGTAATACAGCAATTCGCAAGCGCAGCTTATAATTTCGCCGAAACTTCTTTGCATAAGGCGAGGAACATAGGAACACAGAGCGCCATTTTACATGGCAATTTTCGCGGAGCACGCGTGCATGAATTCTTGCTGGTGAAGCATCGTTCTAAGTTATCTATCTTACGGAACGCGGTGAAAGTTTCAATGGCGCAATTTAAAGTTGGCCTATCGCGACAAGCTGTGCCCTTCGTCGCAAGGAACCCTCTATATTCCGGCAAACTCGATGTATATCTACTTTAGGTTGTTTACCCTAATTTTACGTTAACTTCTTCAGCATTATTGTTAACATTACATACGCATTAACACGTTATTATACATACCATCATTCGATATACATATACAGTATACAGGCAAATACGCAAAAAATTTCCACATTTTTTATATGCAGTAACAGAAAAAAATAATCATGATTTCGATACCTAGTTTTCCCTCATTGAAATTTTTTTATCTGTCCTAGTTCTTAAAGTATATTAAAGTTAAAAAATTACAGTGAGTTTTAATTTTGAAGAAGGCGAATGTAAATATAAAGGACACAAATATTGGGAACGTAAAACCGGCTTGAACCGATGTAAAACGATGTGATGATCCGTGACTTTTTTCATTACTTCTTGCAGCGGGATCGTATGAAAGGCTTTAACTTTCCTCTATCGTCCCGTCAGCTGTCATTACAATGTTACAGCCTGGTAACTGTGTCTTTAATGCTCCGATCTCGAGTTTCATTATATAGTTTAATTATGCACGAACGACACAGTTTCGAACGCCAATAAAAAGCGCTTAGCAGACGAGATTACGGATTCTGTCAGAGAATGGGAACTATGAAATTTAGCATAAACGTTCGCACGAGAGCAGTTTGTGAGCTTCGC